CCAAAACTACAACGTTTTCTGTCATACCAAATATGCACTCATAAAATATATTTCACTCTCTATCCACGTAACCACTAAAACACATTTCTTGCAAACCACTCTACATACTTCACACGAGATTATTAACAATAATTCAAGAATAACCTCAAAGACACATTGCCTTACTATACACCCACTATTCTTATATTCAATTTCTTTCGTTAAATCAATAAATGTACATTATGGTGTATTCTTCCTTAGCACATACAGTACTTCAGTTTCATGGTTCAAGGGGAAACCACTTCGATTTCGTTGTGGAACAGACGAAACACGTGTTTGTAACATTTGGTGCACTCACCATTACTTGGTCCAGGATAATACACACATTAAAGCCTAACACTTGCACTATCTCACCGAATCTTTTACCACATACTTTCAGGCAGATAATTAATCACAACTTGTACATATATGTATATAAACATCATCATGACACCGTCTTATTATTTATAAACACATCTTCATACCAGAAAAGAAACATACCTTCATGGTGTACACCGGATATTCAGGTCACAGTGACAGGGCAGCCAACCTCTTATCATCACTGAAACAGAAACATTCGAATATCAGTTCAGATACAGGACGGTAAATTTTCTCCCCATTTTTTACCAATTTTCGTTTCTGATATATTATTCTGCTTAATAACCAAGAAGGGAAATTCGGATGAAACTAATGCCCGGCAGTCACTGAATTGGTCGCGTATCCATACACGAGAAAGAAGGGAACGATTTCACTGATAATAAAGATTTTTCGCGTAAACGTTATGCCATTGGAGGGCAGCATAATGCCATAATATGTGATATTCAGTAATCATTTGTATTACCGTGGGGGATTCGCAAACTCTTGAGGTGGGAGCAGCGTTCTCGACTCAATCCAAATTATCACGTAGCAATATAGCCTCGCAATATCACAACATAATTTGATATTATGGGTGGAAAAACAGTCAACACGCTCAACTTTATACATAACGTCATATATCGACTTATATTCCATGTTACGACAGTCCTATATTACGTTCGGTTAAATAGCAGCTTCCTAAATGACGTCACTCTTAGGTGTGCGCAATCAACTACTGCGCACCCACCTGTAAATCAGGGGGGCTGGTCCTTGGATCGCTCATGTTAGGTTAAGTTAGGTTAGGTTAGGTTGGTCAGATTAGGTTTGCGCAGTAGACTACTGCGCATCCATCTGTACCTTGGAGGGGGCGAAGCTCGGTAATTTTTTCTCATGTTAGGTTATGAGTGTACATTATGATAGGTGTGCGCAAACCACTACTGCGCATCGTTATGCTCAGTTGAGCACGGTTTCGCTTTCGGCAATATCTTACGATTGAATGTCTCTGATAGCGTTTGAAATCGTTATATATTTATACGGGATACTTTATTTCCGAATTTTCTCATGTGATAAAATCTTGCATATATTTTTCTGTTAAACTATCTACAAAATCTATTAATCTTGCAATATACTAAGATGTTTACAGTGGACTTAAACGCATTTTCTCCGAAATATTGACATTCCAGAACGCTCTCAAGTGCATGATATCACAATTATCTTGATTTACTCTTAAAATTCCCACAAGTCCCCGAAATATTCTCTTTTCGGATGTTCCCATTATTAACTTTATTAGGTTTTTCGACATATGTCAATGTCATACATATATTTTATGTGAAACGTATCCACCCCACAATACTACTGATCAAATATTAGATAGGGAAATCACTGATTACCGCCTCTACCTAACAGTATATCGTTCAAAATTCTTCTAAGCATTCAAACAAAAAACCAACACAACCCTATATATGTTCAAGACTAAACTATAAAATACAATTACAAGAATGTCACATGTAACAACTCCTGCTTTCCTGTAAACAATGTGATTCTCTAAGTAGTTTAATAGATGGAAAGAAAATCATTACCTGATGCTGTATACTAACTACTAGCACATGTAAGCCTGGAATCCTAGATGGCAAGAATGCAGTCCATTGCCTAATACACCCAAATACACATGTAACATAGAAATCACTTGCCATCATTCTTCAGGCTATAACACACACATTACACACCACTGTGCACATTTTACACTGTCATTCACCAGGATTGCCAGCATGACACCAATCACAGCATGTGTTCCACTTATAATACCACACTGTTATAAGCAAAAATTCTTCATACAAACAACATGTGTACATAAAAGGGGAAACTTTTGATTCATCTCTGGGTGAATGGAAATCTTATCATTCTTGAAAACACTGCTCACTTCACTCACTACACTTCACTGTATATATTACAAACAAAGGTAGAATGTCACACTTGAGAGTTTCAACTTCACTTTACACTCCTCACCATTGTAACCAAAACAACATACACTATTACACCACTCTGTCACACACAACAAAGACATAAATTCAAAATATAACTTCTTCAATGGGAACTAGAAATTCACTTTGTACCTGTTCTTACAAGTACTTGTAAAATGCAAAAAAAAAAAAAAGTATCATTCTGAATAATAACCTACACACACTTGTAATATTCTGAGGCTACATACCAAAACTACAACGTTTTCTGTCATACCAAATATGCACTCATAAAATATATTTCACTCTCTATCCACGTAACCACTAAAACACATTTCTTGCAAACCACTCTACATACTTCACACGAGATTATTAATAATAGTTCAAGAATAGCCTCAAACACACATTGCCTTACTAGACACCCACTATTCTTATATGCAAGTACTTTCGATAAATCAATAAATGTACATTATGCTGTATTCTTCCTTAGCACATAGGGTACTTCAGTTTCATGTTTAGAGGGAAAACACTTCGATTTCGTTGTAGAACAGAAGAAACACTTGTTTGCAAAATTTGGTTCACTCGCCATTACTTGTCCAGAATAATACACATTAAAGCCTAACATTTGCACTATGTCACCGAATCTTTTACCATATGCTTTCAGCTAGATAATTAATCACAACTTGTACATATATGTATATAAACATACACATGACACCGTCTTATTATTTATAAACATCTCTTCACGCCAGGAAAGAAACGTACCTTGATGGTGTACACCGGATATTCAATTCACAGTGACAGGGCAGCCAACCTCTTAACATCACTGAAATGGAAACATTTCATTATCTGTGAGATTGATTGATTGATCAGTAACTGTCAGATGACAGGTCCACAGTCTCTTCCAAAACAGTTCCTCCACTTAATGTGATCTTCTGTTTTTGGAAAGAGACTGTCCAGGAAAAGTGTACGGCAGTACAACAGCCGTTCAAACCACTCTGGTCACGCCTGTTGCTATACGAACTTGAACCATCTCGAGCATCATTTGTTCTGTGCTTCAAGTCGCTGCTGATGACGCTGCTTCCGGCATCAGTTTTTGGTTTTTGGTGTCTCTCTTCGTCTGATGCCTACCCTTTTGACCTGTCCAGCAAGGGAGGCCCTGCCAGTAGCTACGCTACCGCTGGTATAGCTCTCAGGGTCCTTGGCATACTCAAACCCCCTCACCACGATAAGGTGGAGACACCAACGAGAGGGCTGTGAGATTACGGGACTGTAATTTTTCACCCTATTTTGTTTACCCATTTTCGTGTATAATAATATTCTATTACCTATCCAGGAAGGGAAATTCGGGCGAAACTGTTACTTACATGTCGTTTACGAAAAAGAACTAAAATTATTCATAGAGGATGTCGCACAGGCGAATCTTAACCAATAACAAATACGGTACAGTGGGCCCGATGGGCATTGCCTAAGCCATTTTTGTTTATACGTTTTTTTAATAAAAAAACAATAACACCACAGCTGGATATTGAAACGTTAGCAGGAATCGTTATGAAAGGTCGCGTGTATTATCAAAGAAAGGCGCTCTACAATTACAGCATCTAAACTATATTCTAAAATCGTTAGTAATATATTGAGTCCCCTGCAGAAGAAGGATACCCACATAACAATCGCCAGATCATTATCCTGACTTCTTTAATTTATTAATGCTATTGTAAACTAAGATGATTTCAAAACACCTTAACCTCTGAACTGAGAAACAATTACCGAACCTCGACTTTCTTCAGACAAGGCTAAAAGTTATGCCAGTTATTGGTGGTTGGCAATGTATTCATTGCCACCAATATGACAAATGTAACTTTGTCTTACACACCAGTGCCATGGAGGACACGATCAACACGACAAATCCCACTTGACCAGAACCGGGATCGAACTCGGGCCGCCGCAGTGGGAAGCCAGCGACTAACCGCTTGAGCTTTGGTGCGGCCCACTATCGCAGTAACACAAACCCCCACCGCTTGGCTATGTAATGTTAAAAATGACTATGTGATCTGATAATTAGGGGCACCAGCAAGTAGCACATGCGCAGACACATTGGAATAAAAGAATTCCGCAAATCTACGGTATGAAATCGAAATTACATGTCAGACGCCTTTAATTGGGACAAAATGTACACTTAGGTGATAACGTTTTAACAGAAACGACGCAATTCAATTCACTTCATTTACTTAAGTGCTGGACTAAATGTATTTTGTTATAAGCGAATTGCACCAAAGCACTGAAGAAATCAATAATAATGTGGCACAGTAAAAGTTGCACCTGTGCTTCATTAATTAAGCACCACGCCATGAAGACATGTAGGAGAGTGGTCACCTTCACGTCCTGGTTAAACAGACTGAGCTATCCAGGCTAGTGATGATGATGATGATTAACATTTTGAATTATTATTATTATTATGGCTCTACAGCCCTGTGTTGGGCCCTGTCCGTTATTTTCTCTTCAGTTTCTTGATCCTATACACAGTTGGTAGGTCTCCTTGGACGAGTGGTCGGCCTATCGGAAGGCGTCTACAGCCTCTGCACACACCCAGAACACAAACACAGAATAAACGCAAACAATAAAGACATTTGTGCCTCGAGTGGGATTCGAACCCACGATCTCGGCATTTGAGTGGGCGAAGATATTTCATGCCTTAGTCCGCACACCACTGTGATAAGCATTTTGAACTGTAATCAATAAAAATATATACTCAACTAGGATTTGATCTATGATCACACCCACTAACCCATGTGCTAATGAATTATTTTTTACTTGATTGTTTAACTCTATCAGCATCGTAATTATATAGCACTGGATGATGGGAAGGAGGGCAAAGGGGGTGGATGCAGCCTAGTGGAGGTACTTGAAAGATATAAGTCACTGGAGAGTTGCAAGTTTAAGTGAAGTCAATATATCATAATTGGTGAATAAACAGATACTGTATATTGTGTATAATTTGATTTGTTGCATCTTTCTTCGGATAACACTAAACTCTTGTGGGATGTCCCCACATCACTACCTTGACCTTGCCAAGTCAATCAGTTCCAGTCAGTTCATCAGCAGTCTTCAAGCAGTCTACAAGCGATCGGCACACTTCCTCGCCAGCACTCGGCCTTCGGAGGCATCGGCACTGCTGCGCCAAGCACGACTGTCTCGGCTGTCCGGCGGTCACACCCCCGACTCACTGGGCAACTCGGCCGCCTTGATTCGCCGGAAGTCATGCCCGACACACTGGGCAACTGGCGTAGCTACCATCTCTCCACTCCTGCGACCGCGCTCGGCAAGCGAACCTTTTTCCAGCAACCAAGCAACCTCCAGCAACGGCCGCACTGTGGCCAGTCAACTGACTCAGCCACCTCAACATCCACCACAACCAACATCCCTTCCTACCCGCGCGCGTCGCACTACCTCACCGGTCAAGCATCTCAGCAACCAACAGCCATTTTCAGAACCTACAAAACTGTTCCGAAGAAGTGAGTTGTCATTGAAGTAACGACAAAACAAAAACCCCACATTGGTGACCCCGACATGATTGGAAGCGCGTATGGTGAAGATTATTAACAACTCCCACATTGGATCATCCCAGCTCAGCATTGATGTCACAGACAACTCGCAAGCAGCAGCATCAATTCTCACAAGGGGGGGAGTGATGTGGGGACATCCCACACTCTGTAATCACTAAATCTGATGATCATTGAAGTGATTATATGTAGTGTTAAGATCAATAAAACTTGCTTTCCTACCCACATCTGTGGATCCTAAAGGCAGCATCACACCCTGGTATTAACTGTCAATCATAATTATCCATGAGAATTTATTCAAGTGCTTTATGTGAGCCTACCATCCTAGCATCCCTATATCATTGACAGGAAAGGGATATGAATGTACAAGGGAGAATCAGTAAATATGTCACAAATGGTTGTGCTCATAAAATGCAAAACACATGATATTCATATATTTATTTCTTTATGTATCCTCCACCAAAATTGATACACTTTCTCCATTGCTTTGCCAGTGTGTCAAAACCCACAGCATGGAAATATTTTCACTGTTGTCTCAGCCACTTTCATGCCTCCCTTTCAACCTCTTAATCACCAGTGAAATGTTTGCAACCAAGGCTGAACCACTTTACGTGGCAAATACTTCCCCCCAATACAAACAAGAAACATATCTTTATGAATATCCTTTGCACTCAGTCCTTTTATCTACAAAAAAAAATGCACCCCAGAACACTGCTCATTAGTAGAACACCTTCAACCATTGTAGCCATTTTGACTACTGAAACCAGCCTCTGAACATGCTCATGCACATCTGATACCTAGACTATCATGCACTTGGGCTGCGCTGCTAACCAGTGATACACACAGAAAACATATTACATTTATTACAGCTGTTTTTCTTCCCTCTGTGACTTATTTACTGACTCTCCCTCATAGGTATCATTTAGGATCTTCCCTCCGGCCCCCTAATTCCAAATAATACATTGTTATCTCTACTTCTTAATGAGACGTTAAGGTATTAAAAACGATATTAATCAAAATAAATAAATGGTTCATGATTAATTCACTAACATTAAATATTGACAAAACTAATTATTAACAATTTTCATCAAAATTAAATACAAAATCAAGCATAAATCTAAAGTATGAGGATATCCAAATTACTAGCACAAGTAATACAAAATTTATTGGATTAATTATAGACAATACCTTATCATGGAAAGATCATGAGTGCGGCTAGTTACTCTGTAAGAATCTTGTCTGAAGTCATGACTCAGGAGAGTTTAAGGATGATTTATTTTGCATATGTACACGCCATTATATCATATGGAATAATATTCTGGGGCAATTCGACACACAGTAATTTGATTTTTAAAATACAAAAAAGAATAGTGAGAATTATTATGAAGGCAAGGAATAAGGACTCCTGTCATCCATTGTTTAGGCAATTAAATATTCTGCCCTTATATTCGCAATATATATTTCTTGTATTAATATTTGTAGCCAAGAACATCGACATATACAAATTTAATTCTGCCATACATAGCATTAACACCAGACAAGTTACACATTTACATTTTACAACTAATAATTCTGCTAAGCTGCAGAAGGGTGTATATTATGCAGGGATTAAGATATTCAATAATTTACCACGAAGCATTAGGAATTTGTCAAATAATATTATTAAATTCAAACAAGCTTTAAAAAGTTTTGAGGTTTTCACGGCGATCACTATGAAGAAAGTCGTCTTCTGGGTTTTGGCGCCGTGTATTCTTCGTTTTGGCTGACGTTTCGGAGGAACGTATCGCCTCCATCTTCAGAGCAGGTGAATGGCTTGTGAATGCAGAGAGCAGTAGCTGTAATGATTAGGAAGTGAAAGGCTCTGCTATATATACGAAGTAGGTGGTTAGGGTAAGCGGACCAATAGGAGCAGTCGAGAGCGATTAAGGCCATATATGGTGTTGTGTGCTAAGAGGGGGGGGAAGGCCAGTGAATCCAGGAAACTTGAGGTCAATAGCACTTGGAGGTTGCGGTTAGACAAGAAGAACCGGTTGGCTGGGGACAGGCTACTGACGTCAATGACATGACGAAGAATACACAGCGCCAAAACCCAGAAGACGACTTTCTTCAAGCTTTAAGAAGGTTTCTTCTTATTGGCTCATTCTATTCCCTAAATGAATACTATGAATGGAACTCAAGGGGTGATCTTGATTCTTACAAATAGCATACGCAATTGATTTGAACA